TGATAATGTACCAATGTACCTCCAGAGGGATGTGTTAGATTGTGATGTAGTGGAGGCGGGATCCATGCACAGCTTTAAGAAGCGATACGATAAAGCTCATGGAGCAGGGAGAGAGTGGACCTACATGGCAGCGACCAGCGATTAGGCGGGACTTGGACCTGTGAATCGACCCCTGCAACCACAAGGACCACTGAGACTTACATTACAACGCACAAGCCACCTACCTTTCAGTACATAATAAACCCACACATAATTCCACACAAAATTACACACAAAATTACACACACACACACAAACACATAACACACACACACACCACACACACACACAACACACACACACACACACACACACACACACACACACACACACATCCAGACTCACACATACACTCCCCCCCCTCACCACCGACATCTCACTCATTCCCCTGATCCCTCCCCTCCCTCGATCACCCTCCCCTCCCCCGGTCACCCTAAACCCTCCCCACCCCTCCCCACTCCTCTCCCATATAGCCACAGTTCCTCCACTACTTCCCCTCCACACTCTGACATACACACTACTAACCTAACATACAGAACTACATAGGTTTCCCACTCTGAGGCAATCAGGATAAAACAAAAATGGGTTGCCAGAGAGCAACAAGAAAAACCAAGGGACAGGAGGAGGAAACTGCAAAGGAAGATTGGGCAGCAGAGCTCATAAAAAGGGATCATGAATGGGAAAAGAAACTAGAAGAACTTAGCATGAGAATGGAAGAGAGGATAGATATGGAAAGCAGGAAGTGGGAGGTGCATGTGAAAGCAGCAGAAGCTAGGATACAGAGTTTAGAAGAGGAATTGAAAAATCTGAAACAGCCTAAAGAACTAAAGAACATTTTGGGATTGACAACAGAGACTGCTACCTCAGCCACAAATAAGGGGACTGTAGGGAAAGAAGGGGCACAACTGCATGGAGAAGCTCTATCAGAGGAGACTGTAGCAAATGAAAGAGCTAAGCTTTATGTGGAGGCCCTAATAGACAACAACAGAGCCCAAGGAAAGCCGAGAAGGGAAAATGACAGGCCACTGAGCCCAAGTACATTAGTCAGTGAAATTGATGAAAGGAAAGCTGCAGTGGAGGAAACCAAATTAAATGAGGGGATACACAGGGATATGCAGTGGAGAATGAGAAGGGTGAGGTCAGTCTTTGTGTATGGGCTCCAGAAAGTTGAAGGGGAAACATATGAAGCAAGAAAACAAGGGGAAAAAAAAGCAATTGAAAGCATCATGAAAGCAATAGGAGAAGACGACATGACCCAGCTGGAAAATTTTCGGAGAATAGGGGGGTTTGTAAAAAAAAGAACCCGGCCAGTGAGAGTGACCTTCAAGGCAGAAGCGACTCGGACCAGGATCCTGCAGGAGAAAGCACGATTAAGGGACATGCCGGCATACAGGAAGGTGTATCTCGACCGCGACAGAACACAAGAAGAAAGGCAGAAACTGAGAGAGATGGTACAAAGGCGAAAGGAGGAAAGAGAGGGGATGGAGAAGAAAGACAGGAGATCCCAGACCCAGGAAGAAGATCAAATACAGCCTCTCTCACAACTTCATATAGAAGCCTCCCAACCAGGTCAACCCCAGTGCAACCAAACACTCTAAATCAAAACACCCATGCCACATCCAATGCCCCCACCCACTACATTACAAACTCCACCCCCACAGCAAAACCCATAGTTCCTTACCAGGTCTCCCACTTCCCCAACCCCAATATACCTCCCAGACCATAGTCTTAGAAAAGAAGTTGAAGGTGTGGTATACAAATGCAGATGGAATAACAAACAAGTATGAGAAGTGGCACGAAAGAATCAAAGAGACATCCCCAGACATAATAGCACTCACAGAAACAAAACTCACCAGAATAATAACAGATTCAATCTTTCCATCCGGATATCAATCCTCAGGAAAGACAGAGGGAGGAGAGGGAGAGGAGGAGTTGCATGCTCATTAAAAACCAGTGGGGTTTTGAGAAAAATGGAAGGAATGGATGGCACGGGCGAAAGGGACTACTTAGTAGGAACAATCCAGTCTGAGGGACATAAGGTGATAATTGCAGTAATGTACAACCCACCACAGAACTGCAGGAGGCCAGAGAAGAATACGATGAGAGCAACAGAGCAATGATCGACACACTAGCCGAGGTGGCCAGGAGAGCACACATGGGGGGAGCAAAGTTACTAGCTATGGGTGATTTCATCACAAGGAGATTGACTGGGGAAAACCTGGAGCCCCATGGGGGTCCCGAAACATGGGAGCCAAGATGATGGATGTGTACTGGAGAACCTCATGCATCAACATGTTAGAGACACTACCAGAGAGAGAGGAGAGGATGAACCAGCAGGCTGGACCTTGTATTCACCATGAGTAGTTCGGACATCGAGGGTATCATGTATGAAAGCCCCTGGGAGCTAGTGATCATGTGGTTCTGTGCTTCGACTACATAGTTAAGCCCAAGTGGAGAGAGTAGCAGGAATAGGCTGGGAAAAACCAAACTACAAAAGGGGAACTACTCAGGCATGAGGAACTTCCTTCAAGACATTCAGTGGGAGAGGGAACTGACAGGAAAACCAGTACAAGAAATGATGGACTATGTAGCAACAAAATGCAAGGAGGCAGAGGAGAGGTTTGTTCCCAGGGAACAGAAATATGGGAAGAACAGAACGAGTCCTTGGTTCACCCAAAGGTGTAGGGAGGCAAAAACTAGGTGTACTAGAGAATGGAAAGGTACAGAAGACAAGAACTCAGGAAAATAAAGAAATCAGCCGAGAGCCGAAATGAATATGCACAGATAAGAAGGGAGGCTCAGGACAATATGAAAATGACATAGCATCAAAGTAAAGACTGACCGAAGCTGTTGTACAGCCATCAGAAGGAAACAAACAGTCAAGGACCAGGTAATCAGACTGGGAGGGTTATGGGGAATTCACAAGAAACGACCGAGAGGTTTGTAGGAGCTCAACACAATATTTAAAGAGGTATTTACAGTGGAAACAGTAGGACTCCAAGAAATCAGAACTGGGGGGCACACCAGCAAGTGCTGGATGAAGGTACATATAACCAAGGAGGAGTGAAGAAGCTGCTATGCGAACTTGACACCTCAAAGGCGGTGGGACCAGACAACATCTCTCCAATGGGTCCTTAAAGAGGGAGCAGAGATATTTGTGGTGAGCCATTAACAAAGATCTTCAACACTCATTTGGAAACTGGGCAACTCCCTGAGGTATGGAAAATGGCAAATGTAGTCTCAATTTTTAAAAAGGGAGACAGACATGAGGCACTAAAGTACAGACCTGTATCACTAACATGTATAGTATGCAAGGTCATGGAGAAGATCATCAGGAGGAGAGTGGTGGGGCACCTGGAAAGAAACAAGGGTATAATTGACAACCAGCACGGTTTCAGGGAAGGAAAATCCTGTGTCACAAACCTACTAGAGTTTTATGACAAGGTGACAGAAGTAAGACAAGAGAGAGAGGGGTGGATCGACTGCATATTTTTGGACTGCAAAAAGGCCTTCGACACAGTTCCTCACAAGAGGTTACTGCAAAAGCTAGAGGATCAGGCACACATAACAGGAAAGGCACTGCAATGGATCAGAGAATATCTGACAGGGAGGCAACAACGAGTCATGGTACGCGACGAGGTGTCAGAGTGGGCGCCTGTGACAAGCGGGGTTCCACAGGGGTCAGTCCTAGGACCTGTTCTGTTCTTGGTATATGTGAACGACATAACAGAAGGGATAGACTCAGTAGTGTCCTTGTTTGCAGATGATGCGAAGTTAACGAGAAGAATCAAATCGGACGAGGATCAGGCAGGACTACAAAGAGACCTGGACAGGCTAGAAGCCTGGTCCAGCAACTGGCTCCTTGAATTTAACCCTGCCAAATGCAAAGTCATGAAGATTGGGGAAGGGCAAAGAAGACCGCAGACACAATATAGTTTAGATGGCCAAAGACTGCAAACCTCACTCAAGGAAAAAGATCTGGGGGTGAGTATAACACCGAGCATATCTCCTGAGGGACACATCAATCAGATAACTGCTGCAGCATACGGGCGCCTGGCAAACCTACGGATAGCGTTCCGATACCTCAGTAAGGATTCGTTTAAGACTCTATATACCATTTACGTCAGGCCCATACTGGAGTATGCAGCACCAGTTTGGAATCCACACCTAGTCAAGCACGTCAAGAAATTAGAGAAAGTGCAAAGGTTTGCAACAAGACTAGTCCCAGAGCTACGGGGATTGTCCTACGAAGAAAGGTTGAGGGAAATCGGCCTGACGACACTGGAGGACAGGAGGGTCAGGGGAGACATGATAACAACATATAAAATACTGCGCGGAATAGACAAGGTGGACAAAGACGGGATGTTCCAGAGATGGGACACAGACACAAGAGGTCACAATTGGAAGTTGAAGACTGAGATGTATCAAAGGGATGTTAGGAAGTATTTCTTCAGTCATAGAGTAGTCAGGCCATGGAATAGCCTAGAAAGGGATGTAGTGGAGGCAGGAACCATACATAGTTTTAAGGCGAGGTATGATAGAGCTCATGGGGCAGGGAGAGAGAGGACCTAGTAGCAATCAGCGAAGAGGCGGGGCCAGGAGCTGTGAATTGACCCCTGCAACCACAAATAGGTGAGTACAAATAGGTGAGTACACACACACACACGCACACACACACACGCACACACACACACGCACATAGTACTCTCACTCACTGCTCTCACCAACTGAGATCAATGAGAGCACACAGAGTAACTCTCACCTATCTCATCAAGCGAGTATAAAGAGCACACTAAGCCTAGCTCTTACTCACTGGTTTGATCACTCGAGAACATAGAACACACTCATAGAGTAACACTTCCTCACTGATCTCATTAATCAAGACCGTACACAGAGGGTGAGTCTCACTCATCCTTCTCCTCCCCTGATAACGTAAACTACATCCATTTCTTTTCACTCACCATTTTCATCAACACGGTAGTCAAACAATGAGTCAACACTGCCGTGTCCGCGGGGAGGAAGGTCCAGGTGTGAGTATTTGCTTCTTACATGTTCTTCCAGCTTGGCTCGGTCTGGCAGCTCCAGCAGCGCCCCTACACTCCACATCATGGAGAACACGAACAAGCGGTGGATGTGCTCCTGGATGGGCGCCTGCTGCGTCTGTAATGATATACTAATTCATAAATAACCCACATTTAGTAGGGAAAACATTTAAGGAGGTTTCGGTCCGTCCTGAACCATTATTAAGTTACTGTCTCCTAAGTGCTGGGTATTTGTGTGGTTCCAGGAGCTTTTTACTCAATGTGGAATTCGATTAAAAAAAACTCATGAAAGAAATCTTCTATATCATATCCATGAGAAAACACTAAACCCATAGGGGTCATACATCACTCTAAGAATTAGATCTGACCCTAGAACGGGAAGATATCTCCAATCACTGGGATCAGGAGCCCTTCAGCAACAACAAGACATCCTTCATCCTTGAAGGGAAGACATACTCTAACAAGGGTACAAGTATCTTGGTGTTCTAGTTATGCCTAAAACATCTAAAGATAAATTAAAACACTGATTAATTATTAAAATATATTTTGTCGTGGTAGTGATTATTTTTGTATAGCAACAAATTACTCACAATAATGATTAAGATATAGTAATTTGCATATATTTTTATTATATTTATGTGGGAATGATAAAGCTATAACGGTCATGCAGAACAAGAGAATGTTAAGTAATAAGGTCTGATCCAAGGGAAGGTGGGTAACTCCCATTCCATGGATCAAAAGCCATCCAGTACAGCAATTAAGGCAAGCTTTTGGTGGTTGGTATAATACATGGGATAACCGGTTGATATAGAGTAAACAGTGTTATCTTCCCTCTCCTCACACACTCTTTAACTAGATATTAACAATGTTGTTCACTTCCTCCTATTTTAACTCAGTGTTATTCATGTTCATCAATTCTTCAGTGGTCAACAACATCTTAGCCATCAACGCAACATAAAGTAGGCAGCATCAATAAACAATACTTCACTATCATTATTCTCTCTTGTTTCTGTATTATTATTATTATTATAATCAAGGGGGAAGCACTAAACCTGGAGGATTATACAGCGCCTGGAGGGGGGGGAATTTGTAGAAGGCATTCAGGCTTAATTCGGGGAACTGGAGCACAGATCCAATTTCCTAAATCAAGAGCCCCCTCACCAACATCAAGGAACCTTCCTTGAGGGGATCTTGTTTCTGTAGCACTTTCATATCACATTACATGTGGATCCCAGCATGTACGAGTGGCACACTTCAAGTGTGATGGGGAGCTGCTCATCATGTCGTTCCCTTTCAACCTATGAACGAGTCTTTTGTAACCCCCTTCAACTATCTACCAATAGTAATTCATATGACATACTCGTAATTAGAGAATGGCATTTATAAAACAATTATTTTTTCAACATTATGTCCTTTGGAAGCTCGGATCATTGTAATTCGGGTGTTTGTACGTCATGGACTCTGTGTACTGTATAGTTATATATACCTTCTTACCTCTTGGACTTCATCAGCATCAGGGTCGGGTTCTCGCCTGTTGTGATGGTGTTGCTGGACTTGTTCCTTGGGCAGGAGACCTTCCATTACCTTGGTGGCCTGAGCACATAAGCAGTCAAGTAAGAGAAGGAAAACATATGCTCGGGGTTTTATATCATTTGGGTTAATATGAGATGTAACAGTCAGAAGCAATTAATTTCAAAAGATTAAATTCTGATACAGCTATGTCAGTACTTGGTCGAGAGTTGATTGGTTCCTTCTGAACCACTGTTGGGCTTGAAGTGTGATGTGAACTGCTCATCCTGTGGTTCCCTTATCTTCGTCCAAAGTGTGACCTGTTTCTCCCATTATTCCATGATGTGATTTATGTGACCTGTCAGTGTCTGGTCCAGTATATGATGTATGTCCCCTTCTATCATCCCTTTTGGTCCTGAGTATAGGTTACCCCGTTTGGTCACTGGTGTGACCAGCTTCATTATTTGGTTCATTGTATAAGTTATAACTTTCTTTTGGTTCAACGAGACTATGTCCGTCAGTTCAATACCATATATCCAGGTTATATTCAAATTTTGCAGTGTTATATTAATACCCTACATTTTATTAATGGTTTTCACTAACAAAAATTATGAGTAAGACCAAAAACAACACTTAGCCTTATTGCCCAAACGACTATCCCCCTTCAAGGTTGAGAGATAAAACCTAAAAAGTCTAACGAAATTACTATGGGGAAAAAATTTTCGCAGTAAGACACCTACGTGTTGTGCTGTTCTTAGTAACAAATAATACACAAGTACTTAATGTACCCGTAATCAGTTATATTCTGCTTTACTAAAAATTTACGCCCTTGTGTCTCATAAGAGTGATTCATATGTGGCTCCTTTTAAATGTAAGCTTCATCCCTCCTGGTTTATATTGTTGATTTATT